TGAGTTCAGAAATTCTTTGGTTCACCTTCCAGTGGTTTAGGTCGCTGCTTGTTTGTGCAGGAATGGGTTGTTGTTAGCTGCTATCAAATCAACCCCCATCTGGCAACCCCAGACACAATGGAATGAAATAATTCCTGTCCCCTCCATGATCGATTGCCCATCAAACTGTTGTGATTCACAGGGTTTTCCACTGGCTGATTTTTTTGAAGTGGATCATGAGAGCTTTCTTCCTAGTCCATCTTAGGCTGGAAGCTCTGCTGAGACTTGTTCAGCATCATAGTAACATAGAGGCCTCCACTGAGGATGGGACATGCATCAGCCAGGAATTGAACCCAGTTTTCTCCTATGGAGGCAAGAATACTACCACTGAACCACTGTCTTGCAGGACTAGGACAAGAGATCTAAAATTCTAACTGCTCCTTATACAGACTCTCAGCCAACCATCTGTTTTTCTAGCTTTTTCCCTCACCCCCAGCTTCTGAGGTATCTGGTGCCTCTAGTTCCTGAGCTTTTTGGAGATTCTCTGGCATGAATCTGCTTGTTTCTCTTTCCTACTTCCTTCTGCAGGCACTTATGTTTTAACTTTCTCCACTCTGCTAAATCAGCCACTACAAACCTGTCTCTGTCCACCCTTCAGAAAGCTTGTTGCTATATCTTGTCCACTATAATCTTTTCTTCAGTTTTTCAAATGAAATTTAAATCTTAAAAAAATCAAAAATTATTTGCTGCCATTGTTAGTGGGGTTTAGGAAAGGAGTAGAGATGCTCTCTATGTTAAATCCATTGCAATGAAATGGAAATCCAACAGCCCTTTCTAGCTTTGTTTTTGGGACACTTCTTGCCAGCCAGGATCTCTGTTAGTGCAGTGGTTAAGGCATTCAGCTACTCACCAAGAGGTCAGCTGTTCAAACCTACCAGCTGCTCCATGGGAGAAAGATTAGGCAGTCTGCTTCCATAAAGATTTAGCCTAGTGTGATGCTATGATGCTGAATAATTAGTGGAGCTTCCAGAGTAAGAAGGACTAGGAAGAAAAGCCTGATAATCTACTTCTGAACATCAGCCAATCAAAATCCTCTGGATCACAATAGTCAGATCTGCAATGATCATGAGGTGGGCTCAGGACTGGGCAGCATTTCTTTCTTTTGTGCATGGGGTCATAAATGAGTAATTTCTTTTACAAGGATCAGCACAAACCTTGTTCCTATTAGGCAGAGGTTAACGATGTCCCAAATGTCCAGCTTTTCCAAACTGCTGTACCACTCTATCATCTCTCACACCAACTACTTCCCTTCCCCTCAGTACTCTCCAGTGTGATAGATCTATCCTTCTACACCGTTGCCTGGCCTCAGGGTGGGCAAAATGTATGTCCCTGCCCTTTGACATTGGCTGTAGCTGTGAAACTGCTTTGATGAATGGAATGTTAGCAAATGTGTTATAAACAAAGGCTTGAAATAATCTAGTGTTGTTGGGCTTGCTCTTTTGTTTCTGCCAATGATGGTTCTAGAAGGATGAGAGACATTTGGAGCAGATCTACCCCAGCTGATCAGAAGACCTGCAGCTTTTAGGAGAGCTATCCAGCGACCTGCAGACCAGAGGGTGTAATTGTAAATGCTTCTTGTCACATATCACTTAGTTATGGAACAATTTGTTCTGGAGCAGTAGTTGACTGATACCCAATATCAAAGGGAATGAATGATTTTATGCCTCTTGTTAGGCAGTAGTTCTTCTCACTAGAAGTCTGGAACCAAGTTATCATGGCCATGCATATGGTATATGTATATCTATAGAATACATGAGAATTTCCTTGATTTAATCATAAAATCTATTTTTAAATGGTTTTAAAGAATAAAACAATAACCATAAAACCAGCACAAATTAGGACCTCACATAGATTACTATGACACTTCAACATAAAGAAAATGAAAATCCTCACAACTGGACCAATAAGCAGCATCACAATAAATGGATAAAAGATTGAAGTCATCAAAGATTTCATATTACTTGGTTCCACAATCAATCCCAATGGAACCAGCAGTCAAGAAATTAGATGACATATTGCACTGGGCAAATCTGTTGCAAAAGACCCCTAAGTTGCTGAAGAGCAAAGATGTCTCTTGAAGACCAAGCCACAGTGTTTTCAATCACCTCGTATACATGTGAAAGCTGGACAATGAATAAGGAAAACTGAAGAAGAGTTGGTACTTTTGATTTGTGGTGTTGGCAAAGAATACTGAAAGTACCATGGACTGCCAGAAGAATGAACAAATCTGTCCTGGTAGAAGTGCAGACAGAATGCTCCTTGGAAGCGAGAATAGCCAGACTTCATCTCACCCACTTTGGTCATGTTGTCAGAAGGGACCATTCCCTGGAGAGGGATATCATATTTGATAAAGTGGAGGGTCAGCGAAGAAGGGGAAGGCCCTCAGTGAGATCAATTGACACAGTGGCTGCAGCGATGGGCTCAGGTATAGCAAGGATTATGAGGCTGGCACAGGACCAGTCAGTGTTTTGTTCTGTTGGGTTGCTATGAGTTGGAGGGGAGCTCTGGTGGTGTAGTAGTGCCTAAGGCATTTGACTGCTAACCAAACAGCTGGCAGTTCAAACTCACCAGCCACTCCTTGGAAGGACGATTGGGCAATCTACTTCCTTAGAGATGTTGCCTCGGAAACCCAAGGAGGGGTCACTATGAGTTGAATTGACTCGATGGCAGTGAATTATGAGTTGGAGCCAACTTTATAGCACCTAGCTACAACAACAGCATAGCATTATTCCAGATTGGACCCATTATCTTATAGTCTTTTTGGACTGTTAGTAAACACACCAAAGATCTGGGTAATTTTCTTTCACTGTCTTTGATAACTATGACTTTAATTAGTATAATTATATATAACTTACATATTGTTGTTGTTAGATGCTGTCAAGTTGGCTTCGACTCATAGCGACCCCATGGACTACAGAATGAAACACTGGTCCTGTGACAGCCTCATGATCTTTGTCACAACTGAGCCCATAGTTGCAGCCACTGTGTCAATCCATCTCATATAGTTGGCAATTATATAGTACAGTAATGCTAATCTTTATTTTTTTAAGAAAACAACCCTTCTGATTATGATTTTGAAAATCAGCGATATGACAAAATATTCAGAATATTCTTAAAAAATGCCATTAATTTCTTTCAACACCCACAGTTTACTTTTATCAAAGCTGAGCTATTAATTCTAGTTTTCCGAAGAAGCTTGTTGAATGGTTGTATAATATGGAGAATGTAATCATTGTCATCACACCACCAGAGCTCCTTTACAAATAAAACAGCAGCCAAAAAAAAAAAAAAAACAAAAGCTTCAGATGTTGATACTTCATAAATACAAATGATACAAATGAACACCTCATGGGAATAGTTTTCTTGTGTCAGAGTTTTAGGGATGTGGTAGTTAAGCTTGTGTGTCAACTTGGCTGAGCTGTGGGTTTGAGTGGCTTGGCAGCTGGATAGTTATTCCCATGATGAGATTATTATCACCTCCATATAAGAATCTGCTGAGAGTCATTAATCAGTGGAAAGGGAGTTGTCTTTGGGGCGTGGCCTGCTTCCAGTATATGTGGAGAAGATTTGCAAAAGGTCTCTAGCTTTTTGGTACGTTTGGATTCTGCATTTGGCTGAGTCTTCATCTCCAGTTCCTGGACTTTAACCAGTGGCCTGCCATGTTGCCTACCAATCTTGGGATTGTGCCATTTTACCTGTTTGACTGGGTTTGTCACCTCAGCAGCCAGCAACTGTCTGAGTGGGCCTGGAATAAGAGGCAGAGCTGAAGACCAAGATTGAGGACCTTCACCCAGCCCCTAAAGCTGGCACTCTGAATTTGGACTTCTAGCCTTCTAAACTGTAAGATAATAAATTCCTGTTTGTTAAAACCATCCAGTTGTAGCATTTCAGTTAGAGCAGCACTATAGCACCAGGACAAGGGGCCTGGGTTTTGTGGGCCTCTCTAGTCTACTGGCCTAATAATTTTTTAGAGCTTCTGCTCCATCTTCTATTTCATTTAGTGAGTAGTGCCTGGGGTCTTCAAAGTTTCTAAGCAGCCAACCAAGATACAATTGGTCTCTATTTGCCTGGAGCAACAAAGAAAGAAGGAGAGGCAGGAATTTGCGAAGGAAATGGACTTCAAGTCTAATTGCCTCCATGAACTACCTTCTTTGCCAAGAGACCAGAAGAAATGGATGGTGCCAGGCTACCATTACTGAATGTTTTGATCGAGGTTCCAATAGCTGTATCCTGATCAAAAGGAGGAAAAAATGTGGAGTAGAGCTTCACATTCTTATTAGAAACTATTCTTACTGGGTACATTGAGACTGGAGGACTCCCCAAATCTATTGCCTGGAAACAACTTTTGCGCTTTGAACCAAAAAATTCCATGTAGTCATCTTTAAACTACAACAGTTTAGCTCATGTATAAAGAATGTTTGATCTGAGCATTGCACTCTTTTAAAGAAGTATCTGTGAGATTAAGTGGACAACAATAACTCTAAAACACAGAACTTTCAAAGGGGCAGAGAGTCTAAGTTAAGGGTGCTGAAACAATATGATCAGAAATAGGGAAAATTGTGACAACGTGAAGTAACCATTGTCAGTGAGCTGTACATGTAAAAACTGAGTGTATGTTTCTTACCTATATTCTCACACTCTCACAAAAAGCCATGCCTCTCTTGGCCTCCTGACCCTCCATTCAATCATGGAGCTACAGGCCTTAACCATGACGGAACAAAAAGCTCATTGACCAATTTAACCTTCCAACCACAGAGCTGTTGTGGTCCGCTAATCCAGCTCACAAAAGCAGGTCCGCTGCTCTTTTATTCTTCCCGAGCCTGGGTACAGTGTGGAGCTGAGCTCAACAGTTAATCAGCTCTGGAATGTCCCAGCGGTGTGCTGGGGGCCTCTGATGTTTATTTAGCAGGCTGCTGGCCCGCGGGGGCCACGTGGAACGACTGTTTAGCACCCAGAGGAGTATGTACAGGCGTAGCTATGTTCTCCAGACCCTCAAGGAGCAATACAAGCGCTCTGATGAGGCGCTGCGCTCCCGGGAGCCAGACGGCTCTAGCTCTGGCACCGCGCAGAGCCTAGCCTCACTGCAGGGGCTCGGCGAACGCGTGGCCGCCTACGTACAGCGGGCCCGCGCGCTAGAGCAGCGCCATGCGGTCCTTCGCCGGCAGCTATACGCCTTTCGGTGCCTGGGCGACTTGGCTGGCCCAGAGGAGGCCCTCGCTCGGCAAGTGGAGAGCAACCGCCAGCGTACTAGGGACCTGGCGGCGGAGCGTTCCCGGCTGGAGCGTCAGGGAGCCGAAGCGCAGCGCGCGCTCGACGAGTATCGGAGCAAGTAAGCATTTATGGAGGAGCTCTGGTGGTGTAGTGCTAAAGCCATTTGACTGCTAACCAGAATTGTGGTGGTTCAAACCCACCAGCCGCTTCTCAGAAGGAACGTTGGACAATCTACTTCCCTAGTGATAACGCCTTGGAAACCCAAGGACGGGTGGCTATGACTCCAGGGCAGTGAGTTTGGCTTATTTCTTTTGGTAAGCGTTCGCGGTGGTGGAGAAACTGAAACTGAGGCAGGGCGTAGGCAGCCAGGGAGGTGCGGGTCCGGTAGCACGCTGTTACCAGGGTTGGAGGGCAGAGAACACGGACGTGACACATTTCCATAAGGTACTAACCAAGCAAGCCACGATCCTAGAAAGTTCCCCCCTGCCTTTTCCCATTTTCTCTCCCCCTATCCAGAGGTGTGCATTATTCTGATTTCTTTTGCCATAGATTAATTTCTCCTTTTCTGGTGTTGTTAGGTGCCCTGCAATTGATTTTTGACTCACAGTGACCCCATGCAACGAAGTAAAACTACCCCATGGGGTTTTCGCTGTAATTTTAATGGGCTCAGACCCGCTATGAGCCACAATTGACTCCATGGCAGCAGGTTTGATTTTGAGAATCTTCACGTGAGCAGATCACCAGATCTTTTTCCTGCAGAGCCGCTGGATGGGTTTTAGCTACTGAGTGGGTTTAAACTGCCAACCTTTTGGTTAGCAGCCGAGCCCTTAACGTTGTGCCACCAGGTCTCCTTTCCTATCCTAGAACTTCACAAAAATGGAATCTTACAGTATGTACTTTTATATGACTTGATTATTTCACTCAGCACAATGTTTTTGAGATTCCAAAATAACCAAAACCAAACTCACTGCCCTCGAGCGGGATCCGACTCATAGCAACCCCTCCTTGGGTTTCCCAGGCAGTATCACTAGGAAGTAGATTGCCCAACCTTCCTTCCCAGGTGTGTCCGGTGGGGTTTGAACCGCCAGTCTTTTGGTTAGCAGTCAATTGCCATAGGCACTACTCCACATGTTATTTAATCCTTACAGTCTTATCCTGTTACAGCCAGTACTGCTCTGTTTTACAGACCAGGAGACTGAGGCTCAGAAAATGTAGGGATCTGAGGCAAGGTCACTCAGCTAGTAAATGGCTGTACTGAGTCTAAGGTTCAAGTTCTTGGCATGCTGAGTCGAACTGGCTTTTCATTGCATCAAAGCTGACATCAGGAAATTATATTTTAGTGTGTCCTCTAGGGTCTTGCTATTCAAAAATGTGGTCCACAACCAGCAGCATCTGCATCATCTAGGAACTTCGGCCCTTTTCCAGAACTCCTGAGTCAGAATCTGCATTTTAGCATGATCTCCAGGGGATTCCTCATTTAGAAAATTAAAGTTGAAGAAGTCGTAGTTCAAAACACTTCACCAAAGAAGATGTTCAGGCAGCCAACAAACACATGAACAAATGTTCAGGATCATTAGCCGTTGTTGTTGTTATGTGCTGCAAGTGGCTCCAACTCATAGCGGTCCTATGTACAACAGAACGAAACACTGCCCTGTCCTATGCTCGCCTCACAATCTTTGCTATACCTGAGCCCATTGTTGCAGCCACTGTGTCAATCCATCTCATTGAGGGCCTTCCCTTTTTTTGTTGACCCTCCACGTTACCAAGCTTGATGTCCTCCAGAGAATGGTCCCTTCTGACAATATGACCAAAGTAGGTGAAATAAAGTTTGGCCATTCTCACTTCCAAGGAGCATTCCAGCTGCACTTCTTCCAGGATAGATTTGTTAGTTCTTTTGGCAGTCCATGGTACTGTCAGCATTCTTTGCCAACACCACAACTGGAAAACATCAACTGTTCTTTTGTTTTCCTTAATCATTGTCCAGCTCTCACATGCATATGAGGCGATTGAAAATACGATGACTTGGGTTAGGTGTCTTAATCTTCAAGGAGACATTTTTGCTCTTCAGCACTTTAAAGAGGTCTTTTGCAGCAGATTTGCCAGTGCAATACGTTGTCTGATGTCTTGACTGCTGCTTCTGTTGGTGTTGATTGTGGAAGCAAGTAATATGAAATCTTTAACAACTTCAATCTTTTCTCCATTTATAGTGATACTGCTTGTTGGTCTAGTTGTGAGGATTTTTGTTTTCTTTATGTTGAGATGTAATCCATACCGCAGACTGAAGTCTTTAATCTTCATCAGTAAGTGCTTCAAGTCATCCTCACTTTCAGCAAGCAAAGTTGTGTTGTCTGTGTATTGCAGGTTGTTAATTACTCTTCCTCCAATCTCGATGTCATACTCTTCTTCATATAGTCCAGCTTCTTGGATTATTTGTTCAGCATACAGATTGAATAAGTGTAGTGAAAGGATTCAACCCTGACACACTCCCTTCCTGATTTTAAACCATGCAATATCCCCTTGTTCTATTCAAATGACAGCCTCCTGGTCTATGTACAGGTTCCTGATGAGCATAATCAAATGTTCTGGAATTCCCATTCTTCTCAATGTTATCCATAATTTGTTATGATCCACACAATTCAATGCTTTTGCATAATGAATAAAACACAAGTAAACATCTTTCTGGTATTCTTTGCTTTCAGCCAAGATCCATCTGATAGCAGCAAAGATATCCCTTGTTCCATGTGCTCTTCTGAATCTACCTTGCATTTCTGGAAGTTCTCTGTCAATATACTGCTGCAACCATTTTTGATTTATCTTCAGTAAGATTTTACTTGTGTGTGATATCAATGATATTGTTCGATAATTTCCACATTCTGTGGGATAACCTTTATTTAGAATGGGTACAAATATGGATCCCTTCCAGTCAGTTGGTCAGGTAGCTGTCTTCCAAATTTCTTGGCATAGACAAGTGAGTGCCTGCAGCATAGCATCCATTTGTTGAAACATCTCAATGGGTATTCCGTCAATTTCTGGGGCCTTTTTTTCACCAATTTCTTCAGTGCGGCTTCAACTTCTTCCTTCAGTACCATTGGTTCTTGATCATATGCCACCACCTGAAATGGATGAATGACACCAACTCTTTTTGGCGCAGTGACTCTGTGTATTCCTTCCATCTTCTTTTGATATTTCCTGCATCATTCAGTGTTTTGCTCAAAGAATCTTTCAGTGTTGCAACTCGAGGCTTGAATTTTTTCTTCAATTCTTCCAGCTTGAGAAAGCTGAGTGTGTTCTTCCCTTTTTGGTTTTCTAACTCCAGGTCTTTGCACATTTCATATTAATTGACTTTGTCTTCTTGAGATGCTCTTTGAAATCTTCGGTTCAGCTCTTTAAAATTTTTTTTTTATTATTATGATTTGGGTCAAAGTTTACAGAGCACATTCATTTTCCATACAGTAGCTCACATACACTTTGTCTCATGACATTGACTACAATCTCCCATGGTGCAACAGCTCTTTTCCCACTTCTTGGTACCTCTTCCCTGTGTCCTTCCCTCCCATGCACTCCTGCCCCCCGAGCTGTCTCCCTGTACA